TCGCCCTCAAAGAGTACTGAATCCTTTTACGAGGTGCAAACAGCTTGGGCAGTACTCAGGCAGATGACTCCTTCTTTTTTGACGGCTGGCTTTGCCTCTGTCTTTGCGGGCATTGTCCTTCACATGGTCACTGACTGGGCTGTCTTTGAAGCGGTAAGCTACTTTGCGAGTTTATCAGAGCTGTACATACTAAAAACGACATTGTTAGATTCCCCAACTGGAAATCATGGTGCCCGCCTTTCTGGGGCTGATTGGCAACATTGAGACGACTCTCGCCTCGAGACTGTCGACGCACGCCAACCTCGGCACACTGGACACCTGGCACGGACTGAAGACGATCCTGACGGGAAACATGCTGGTGATACAGTGTCAGGCGTCAACGGTGGGCCTCTTTGCCGCCCTGGCCTCACTGGCAATGTCGACGATCAAGGAGGAGACGAGGGATGCGATCACGCTGGACAATGTCCTCGTGCTGGCTTCAGGATCAATGATCACCTCGATTATCGCCAATTCGCTGCTCGCCACCGTCATCAGTATTGTCATCATTATGGCCAGGAGGTTTAAAATTAACCCAGGTGAGAACTTTGAAATACAAACGAGAGAGTTTTGAAACATCATAATTTTCTTTTGGGTTTTTCCTTTCCCGCAGACAACATCTCCACACCGGTGGCCGCATCAATGGGCGACGTCTGCTCGATCACCTTTCTCGCCGTCATTATGCAGCAGCTTTATGAGTGGCAGAGCAGGGTGCTCAACATTGTCCTCATTCTCGCCTTCATCTCCATTGCACCCGTTTTTGGGTACTTTGCACGGCAGAACCGGTACACAAAATCGGTCATCTACACGGGCTGGTCGGCCATTCTGGGCGCTGTTATTGTGGAGCAGCCTGGTGGCATGGTCATGCAGTCGGCTTTTGAGAAGTACAAGGTCATCTCTACCTTTCAGCCGCTGGTTAATGGTTTGTTTGTTTGCTTTGAATGGTTTGATTTGCACTGTTTACTAACACTGGTTGTTTTGTGCCACACACAGGCATCGGAAGCAATCTTGTCGGCATTCAGACGAGTCGGATGTCGACCTTTTTGCATTCAGTCAGCAAGAAGGGACAACTGCCAGAGAGCAATTCTCGCTACTGTGTTGGCCCCTTTTGGGTTTTCCTATCTAGCGGTACGAACATTTGTAGACAAATTTTTGTTTCATTTTATAAGTTTAACGCGGTTTTATCTTTTTCCCCCTTAGACACCAACGCAAAGATGGCCAGGCTGCTGATGTTGGTTGTCGTGCCGGCGCACATCTTCTTCATTGCCTTCATCTACCTGATGCAGTCCAAATTTGATTTTTCCGTCATGCTCACCGGCTGGTTCATTGGCTCCTACAGTGTGGCCGTTTTCATTCAGCTGGCCATTCTTCTCTATCTCGCCTACATTTCCGTTTTTTGGGCTTGGAGGCACAAGATCAACCCTGACAACTCGGCAATTCCCTTTACCTCGGCGCTTGCCGACGTCCTGGGCAACTGTCTCATGGCGGCGGCGTTCACCTTTCTCAAAGCAGTCAACGATCCGAATGCGAACATTGTCGATGAGACGGTTGCCTCTTCCCTTTTGACTGCATGTGCCAATGCTACCAATACTATCATTTAATTTGCATTCTATGCTTTCTTTTCTCATATTTTTCTTTTTCATTACCTCTCTTGCATTTCTCCAAACTACTGACAACAACAAGCTATTGCTGCTGTTTTTAAATGGTTTCATTTT